GTCCTCTCAAGGCCAGCTTGTTTTTTGCTGGAAGGCCAATTGAGCTTCAGTTGCCTCAGAGACACCAGATGATTTTTTGGGGGCAGCAAGGTCAAGTGCTGCCTGCCCTGGTTTCTGTCCAGTACAGTATTTCCCTGCACTCTGCCTCCAGTTGACCCTACACTTACTTTCAAATGTCAGTCTTTTCCATCCTCCCTACTTGACCAAAACTTTGATCATTTGGAAGAGATTGATTAGAGTTCAAGTGCACATTAGCAAGAGTGCCTGTAAATCCACAAAATACCAGTCTTGCTTAAAAAACTGATACATGGGGCAAACCCTTAAAAAAATCCCCCAAACTTGCCAGAGCCTTGGAGGGGCAGGAGGACACATAACAGAAGGGTGGCTGTTGCTTGAGTCTGAAAGAGGTGATTATACAGTGAGGGGAAAAGGTTGGACAGTTAAAGTTGCTGTGTAAAAGTCCACGTTATTATGTCATGTCATAAAGCCAAAAATGTTCCATTGCAACAGCACATACAGTGCCCTTGTCTGGGGAAACACTGTGGGGACAAAAACTTGCCTCTGGCAATTGCCCTTTTTATGGTCACTGCATGATTTTGCCTTAATTGGCATAAAATACATGTACTGGAGGTCAAAATTATCCACTCAGCTCTTGTTGTCTGTCTTGGTTTCCAAAGGAATCAGGAATCCCTCAGCATTTTCATTAGTTTGACACCAATGTGAATTTAAAGCTTCGTGTTTCTGAAGAGGGATTGTCCTGGGTTCCCTGAGATTTTTTTTTTTTTTCCTACATGACAGAGAGTTCTGTCTGGAATTAACCTGGAGTTTTAAGTTTGCAAGCCTGTGGGTGTTCACTCTTGTTTAATTATATGAGTCTTGCCTCTTCTGTTTGTCAGTCAGCAGCATACTTCCTTATTTTTTTTCCTTTTCCTGAGAAATTCATGCATGCAGTATATCCTTGCATGGAAAGAGAACATGAAAATAACATCGTGATTTTAGTTGAGTTGATGTCTTGCCTTAACTTTTACTTCTGACTTTTCTTGGCTGAGCTTTCATGTTTTTCATTGTAACTTCAACACCGGGATTTTTATAAGAAGCGATAGCTTTACTATGGCAGAGTCCCTCTTCCCTCCATTTATTTATTCAAATGGAGAATCAACTGGACAGCTTGGAGATCAGTGGAGGAAGGGAAGCAGCACAGCAGATAGTAAAGCAAAAGAGTTTCACCTCCATTTGCTAGAGGTCTTCCATTTTCTTGGCCAGGCAGAGAGACATCGAAACAGTGAGGTTTCCTTTATAATAATTATAACCTTTCTTGCAGTCTTCAGACTCTATTTATCCTCACTCCTCCCTGCTGGTAACTGAGTGAGCTCAGATGTCTTTGTGGAGGTCAGGAAGCAAATATTTCATCTGAGGTCCAACTAACAGAGGCCTGTGATGCTTTGTCGTAATTTTTCTCCACCCCAGATAGAACAATAAGTTTAAAAAAAACCAAAGCAGCAAACAAGAATCATAATCTTTAATGTGCTGTCTGAAGGAGTTATTGTTCCAAAGCCCAGCCTCATTTCTTAAGCACTGCAGGTATGTGTGGCTGTGCCTTCAGCGATGCCACGTGAGGTGCATTATCCGTGCTTGGAGTTGCAAGGCTTCATTTGGCTTTGTCCTGCCTTCCCTGCCCCAGGTGTGCGATCTGTCCTTCAGCCTGAAGAAGATGCTGATCCGCCACAAGCTGACCCACAACCCCAACCGGCCCATGGCAGAGTGCCAGCTCTGCCACAAGAAGTTTACAAGGAATGACTACCTCAAAGTGCACATGGAAAACGTCCACGGGGAGACCGACAGCTAATTATGGCCTCTGACCCTACACAAGAATGGATCCAAAGCCGTGCATTTGAGCGTGCACAAACTCCAGGCTTTTCACCTGGCTTATAGGAACAGGCAGGAGAAACAACTGCAATGTGGGTGTTCCCACTTTCTAAAAAAAAATATATGCTAGTAGAAAAAAACCAAAGAAAGATGTTCACCTGATTTATAACGTAACTTGAAAATTAAAAGTTGAAGATAAAAGAACTTGGGGAAAATTGTTATCCTCATTTGAAACAAGAAAAAAGGCAAAAAAAAAAGCTTTAAGCAAACTTGTCTTTGTTAATTACATCCCTAGAAACGTAGATATTAATAGCATTACCTGGAAATCCTGGACTCTTGCGACTGAACCCTTGGCTGTCTGCAACTGTATTTCTGTATCTAAGCTACAAGGCTCCATTAAAATTATTTAATGTGAAACCACGCAGAATTTGTCATTCCAATCGATTGCTGATTGCATCCAGGCTTATTTTATCCATGTCATAATTCTGCACTTTGTTGTAACGTGATTTTGTCTCATTTTATTTACAGCTTTCTCGCTGCTATGTGAAAGTCATTAACTTGAATTGGTTCTTGAGATGCCAAAATGTATGAGTACAGAAGCTGTGGAATTCTATCAACATTAAGTATGAGGCAGAGGAGGATTTATTTCTTCTGGTTACATGAATCAAGAACTAAAGTGAAAACTTTGAGCAATTCAGTTCAAGTGCTGTATTCATACCCCTCACTGTGGCTGGCAAGGCAAGTGGAAACACATCTTAGCAGAGTGGCTTGAGCAGCTACAATTGCTGAGTTAACATGCACTTGATTTCCTGCTGAACAGCTGGTTCTTCCTGCTGAATCAGATGCTCTGGATTTCTTCATCCCACTTAGCCACCCTTTTTTTCCCCCCTTATTTATCTTCATGAGCGCTGGGAAAAATACGGTTTTACTACTAAGTAAAAATCAAATTCTTGTTATCAGTGAGTTGTTTACTGCAGAAAACTCTTCAAAAGAGTTCCCACAGGCCCTCTGGTACCAGCCTGATAACCAAGAAATCTTTATCTACGAGGACAGTAAAACTGTAACTTCAGAGGGTTACAGTGAAATTCCTGAGTTATCAGCAGTTAATATTAAGGCTCTGGCATTAGCAAACTGTTCATATTCAGTTTGGACCTGTCAGTGTTTTGTCAAATGTACTTGCAGTGGGACATCTTTCTTCTACATTTCATGGGAAAAGAATTCAGCTTCTTTCTGAACCGCAGCAGGGGCCTTTATGTGAACTGAACAGCATAGCTCTTTATCTCATGGCATACTCTACCCAAATCTTTTTATCACATGGGAGATTTGCTACTCAGAGAAGCAAAAAAAAAAGTGTTATACAGTAACACTTGAATATTTTATTGCATTTAGTTTGCCTTTTGAAATGCATATGCTTATTTGTTTTAAAGTTGTATGGGATTACTGCAGATTTTGGAGGAAAAGTGGGATTATAAGTAATTCTCTTGTTGGTGAGAACCACCTATGTGTAAAAGCATGCTAAGTCTTCATGGGACTTTTTGCTTCCTGAGAGGTACATGGAACTTGGAGACTTTACCAGTTCCATACAAACAATCTGTTCCTATAAATCCAGTGTAGTGTGTGTGTGACAGACAAATATAAACATTATGAAGTGGAGTAGAGAATGTTCCTCTCCTGGTTTTTGAAGAGTTTGTTAGAATTTATCAGCACAGTGTATTTCTAAGTCCAGATGTCTTCAATTTATTGCTACAGTTATTATAAAAATTAATTTAAGTGTTGAGGTAGCAAAAGCAACCAGTACCATATACTGAGATGTGAAGTGGTGATTTAGCTGTATTTTCTTAATTATCTGCAAGGAGAATTAGGTTGATGACTTTTTGACGTATCTGAAGTGGGTGACTTTTTTTTTGTTGTCATTTGTCTTTTTGACGTCAATGAAATCAAGAATTCAGTCCTAGAAAAGTGAAATTACAGTTCTTTATATTCTTCCTTCTTGATATTTTTCCTTCTTCCATTTGGTTGATACAAACTAAGGCATGGAGGACAACAGAAGGAAAAAAAACCACTTAAAAAAGAAAATAATTCGGAAGTGAAGGTTTCCAAGTTTTTGAGGGACAATGCTGTTAAAAAACAACTTGTAATATATTTACATATTTTACATAGGGGTTTTGCCAGAGATTCTTGCTTCAGAGTTATTACATGTTTAGGGTTAATACAGCTTTTGAGAAAAATAACTAATAAATTGTTTTAATTACTTCTGGATAAGTGACTACAGATATATATATATATTAAGATTAATCATGCTGTGTGTCATCAACAGCAGCAGTTAAATAATTGAAGCTTTGATCTTATTAATGGCTTCAGTAGAAGAAGGGATAGACAGGATCCATGTGGGAGTGCCAGACCTCCATGGAACAGCAGGAGTAGGTGCAGGAGGCTGAAACCCCGCTCCAGGTGAGTGTCTCTTCCATCGTGTCCTCCAGGAGCTTTCCCTCTGGGCTAAAGCAGCTCCTGCAGAGCCAGCACCTGGCTCAGCACCTGCAGGTGTTGCCATGGCAAGAGCCCCCCTGTTCTTTCCATGAGGGCCTGGAATTTCTCGCAGTCAGAGGTAAAATGTTTCAGATTACTGAATTCATGGACTGTGTAATTGGTTTTACGTGCAATGCAGACTTCCCATTATGCAATATATTTCTATTTGATCATAACCTTGCTTTTTTTTAAAAAAAAAGGCACAAACCAAAGAAAGAGAAAGCAAAAATACAAACCAGCAAACACTTCTTCGTTAGAGTAAAAATTTCCATTGACAGCCTCCTACTTGGTATTGCCTTTGGGAAAAATAGGGGACGGTCCCTTCACCTGATTTTGAGAAATGATAAACTGAAACCTGTTGGTTTAAAGGTGATTGTTAATTATTTTAGTGTTGTAGGTTGGTCTGTTAATCATCATTTATTAAAATGCTGACTTTCCCACAGTAAGTTGTACCTCACTCAATAACATGAAAAGCTAGAGAGAGAGAGACTCCTGAAGTAAAGTGCAGTCACTGCCATTTTGAAAGGCTGTGATTCTTTTCCCTACTTGGTGTCATTTTCTGCCGATCATAATGTTGCATTTGTTCTCTTTATTTTTCCATTACAGTTGGTCCCTCGTGGAGAGAACTCCATCTCTGATGTTGGGAACAGCGGCACTCTCACTAGTTCCTTTGGCTTTTCATTCTGATCAGATCTATGGCCAAAAGGTGATACCATTTATTAATGTGATAAATATCCTTTCATTTGCTAATATCAGAATTCTAGTTTGTCTGTATGACTCTGAGGGATTGGATGCATCCTTTAACTATCAAGTCCTGATTAGAAATCAGATAAAGGAGGAAATAGGTTTTTGAAAGGCTGTGATCTCACAAACCTTTCACCACCAGCAGTGTGTGCACATGCATAAACTGTTATATTAGGTCAGATGTATAAAAGGCAGTCTAGAATGGAAAGGTGAGACCACACTTGTGTAGAGCTCTGAAGCCCAATCTGTGCCTGCTCCTGGAAATGAGCGGAGTTTGACTAAAGGCTGGAATTTGATTCTATTATTTAGGTTTTTCTTAAGAGGACGTCTTGGTTAAGCAGGAACTCCCTTCTGTACAAATACAACCAGAAAGTGTTCCAGCTTTAATTTGGTATTTCTTTTGTTAAAAACAAACTTAAGAACAACAGTGAGACAAAACCATGACCTTTTATTAAGAAGTTCTATTGATTCTATATAAGATAAATTTCCCATAAGCATCTTGACCTCCAACAAATACATGATCAGCTGTGGAGTTCCAGCTGTTGAGCAATGCAGTTAAACCTCAAATATCATTGATCATGTGTTCATAACCTTCAACTATAAAACCTCTGAAGAAAGGGAGGTGTCTCTTGGCATGTTTGTACAGCTTCAGGTACATGCAGCAAGTAGTAAACTGGGAGTAACTGGCTCACAATTCTCTTATTCCATTTGTTGCATGGGAAGCACATGTTCTTTGCTGAACAGTAATTGAAGAGAGGTTGTTTCCAGGTCTGTTTTTCTTTGAGAAGGACATTCAGCAACAAGGAACCATTAATAAAAGTTGTTTTGGGGTTTTGTGGTTTTGGAGTTTTTTTGGTTATCCTTCTACAGGGCAAAGACTGTAAGCCCTTAAATCCACAAGTTCATTTCCAGTTTAGCAGCTGTTCAAACAAAACTAGGAGGAAGTGCTACAACAGGTAAGGTTGCTGCTGGATTAGAGACCTCCACTGCAGCATTAGCCAGGTTAACTCTTTGGTACTAACACTGGGATCATTTTCTGTGTCATGCCTGAGACTTTGAAATATTCTTTAATAAACTTTATGTGCCAAATTCAAGGTGGATCATAGTCCACTTTGTGAGAGACAAGAAGCACCAAAGTTGTTTCGTGAAATGATGTCTTGTTCTAAATATTTTAAAACATTCAAGCCCTTTTGTCTGATATTTTTTAGTCTGACTTTTTTAACATAGGTCAATTCTACTGTGATAAAACTGAGAAGAGTTGGTCTCTTTATTGTCTTCTATATCTCTATGCAATTTGTTCTGTTTCATAGTAGGTACCCTGGGGATTGAATCTGCTGAGATGAAAAAAATGAAAGCCCTTTGGGCATGGAAGAAAAAATTTGTCATTACAGGTCTCACTTTGTTTTCTTCCTTTATCACTTAGAACTATTAAAATTATTAAAAACTTTGAATAATAAAATCAAGGCTGAAAATAGCTATTTAATCAGATTCAATCTAGAAGATGCAAGAGGAGGCTGAATTGTTAAATTAAGACTACACTTATCTTTATGAAAAGACAAGATGCACACTGTCTTGTGTTTGCCTGAACTTGCTGGTTCTAACCAGGGCCACTTTGCTGCCTTTCCTTCTGCTATTAAGCCCAGAGTTTATTTGTAACTAAATCTTGCCAGGTGACAGCTTATGCAGAGGACATTTTCTACTGTTTTTCTTTTACAGAAAGAACAGGTTGTTGTGTTACTCAGTTATTCTGGGCTGAGAGTGCCAAGGCCTGAGCTTTCATATCCTTTTAGAGCAGCCTTGAGCCATGTAAGGACACCTTCTGTGAAATCTCTTCCTGTGCTTTTGTTTTCTCTACTCACTATGGGTGTGTGAGAGAAAATCCTGCAGTTTTGACTGACTTGGGCTAAAAGTCTTTCCCAAATGAGTGTGATGGAAAGTTTCTTCTGCGCTGAGGGTGGTTGTTGGTAAAACAAACAGGTGAGGTTATCCCTTTCTAAACTAACTCCTCAGCCATATCCAGAGTACTTGTGTATCATTATCTTTTAGGATTAGCTCATGATTGGATTCCTTTTAAAAGGCTGACAAGAGAAGGTGGTATTTAGCCATTCAGTCCTGTACCATTCAGCAATATTAAAATGCCCTCAGTAAGCAGAAATACAGCTCTTAGCCAGCAAACAACCAGTTTCCAGTTAAATGTTACAAGGCAAGATTTTTCCAGAAGTAGAAAATTAATAGTCGTATTGTGGAGCCCTTATTGGTGATTGTAAATTGTTGTTATTCCTGAGCATAGTACTGATCATTGTGTCAAGTTATTAGTCAGGTGAATACATTTATTATTAAAAAGCTTAATTTGTGTGTGTTCCCCAGCAGACTTGTTCATAATTGCTGGTGACTTCCCTTGTGAATATAAAAACTCAGTCAGTAGCCAGTCCTGTAATTACAAATTTCCTCTGATTAACTGTGCTGTTTCCTAAATTAGAGTCTGGCAGATTGTACTCAGGACATGGGTGACTGTCATGTCCACAAGGATGTTGTCCATTTTAGCCACAGTTCATCTCTCTGTAAACAAACACTTCAATGTTTTGCTTTGAAAGGTATTTGCAGAAAGATAAAAACAACTTAGGAGGGCTCCTACTTTAAAAGAATCTGGGGCTACATATTTGCTGTGCCCTCAAAATGGCTGTGGCATTTGGCTTTGCTTTTTCTGAAAGCACATCCTGGCTGGATAAACTGCTTTTGCCATCTCTTTTTCCGCTTGGTGTTCCTCATGCCATATTTAGAGAAGGCCCAGACATAAAGAACAATATTTTCTAGAAACCAAGCAAAATAGATCAGAGATGAATCCTTGGGTCTGTGTTTCGTTTCAGGCTTACCTTGGGTGAATCCACAGCTGCTGTAGATTTTGGCAATATATCCTCTGAGAAAACGTAAAATGTTTTCTTGTACTTCCTTAATTTTGCTTTGGGAAGTTGATTTATACTCATGTTAGAAGAAATGGCTATAGCAAATACAAGTGTGTGGTTGTGGAGTTCACTGTTTACAGTAGGCACAAGCAGTATATTTAAATTTAAAAGCTGATATATGTATGACTGCACGTGCACAGATCAGAATGTGAGTACAGTAACAAAGACATGTCTTGTATATTAATTAAGTCTTCCATAATGACTGAACAAGGCAAATCAGCTCTGCCTTTATAATGGGAAGGATGAAAACCTGCTCTGCTCAAATTCTTCTTAAAGGAACAAACAACAGGACCAAAGCAAACCACACATATTTCAGGTCTTGGGCTTCTTTTCATCTGCTGTCTGTCATCAGTTTACCTGTGTGCCTGCCCTCTTGTGGATTTTAAATGTAATAAGTACTGTAGGTTTTATTACCCAAGTTTTAAGACTGTGGGTCTTTGAGATGATTTTATGACTAGTCTGCATTATCTAGAACAAAAGAGGGCATATGTGTTATAGGATTCTTCTGCATTTCTTCTGAATGCATTATTTGACTGAAAGAATTGTTCTACCTATACCCTGTGGTTTGGGAAGTTGTTCTGTTCTGTTTCTAAGCTGTATTTGTCAAACTTAGCTGCCAAATCTCTTCCATGCTGCTCTCATTCCCCTACTGTCACACAACTGCTCTTCAAATTTGACTGTCTCAGGAAACCCTGAATGGAAAAGTAATGACAAGGCATATGAAATACCACTGATTTCTTCAAAGCTTTGGGAACTTTTTCTAGGGTCGTAAGGTGAACAGATCAGAGCCTTCTACAGCAGAACACTCTGCCAATGCCACCTGTAATTTCTATCTAAAACATTGCTGTGTGTGCAGAAGTAGTAAATTGCTTCAAAGCTGGAGGCCAGGGATCAGCCCTGCGCTGAATGCATCCAGGAGGATTAGTGTGTGTAAGCCTGCAAGGTAGAACAGAGTAAATAACATAAAAATGGAAATCCAGCCCACACTTTGTGGTGTTTTTAAGCCAATGCAGTTTTGAATTTTGCTACGGAACTAAGAGAAAGATGTGTGTGATGTTCCCAGTGTGCAGCTGGGAACACAAAAACTCAGCTAGGTTAGAATGACCTATCAGACAGGATGGCTGTGCCAACACAAAACCCTTCCGAGAGCCTCTTGGATTAGATCTGGTGAAACACAAACACTCAAAGGACAGGGAAGGAGAAACGTATGGCATGGGGCCAAAGCTGGGAATTAAAAAATAGGTGGGAAAAGGGGATTCTTCAGCTGGTTTCCTCTCACTGTCCAAGGTGCTGATGGCACCTGAGAGACAGACGGGCTCTGCACCACAACGGTGGGGACCTGCCTTCTGGGACCAGTAAAGCTGTGGGGAAGGGGGAGGTAGAAGCTTGTTCTTATGAGTAGAACAGATAGAAACAGAGAGAGAAAGTTGTTGAAGTAAGTTTATGCCATTTCTTAGGCAGAGATCACACAGAGCACAACTCCTGGACCCAGGAAGGTGCTGTTGTCGTGCTGTGGCATGTATGGAAGTGGAAGGAAGAGTTTGCTAGATGTGTTTGATATTGTTTGTATTTGAAAGTACAGACCTTTTACATTCCTTGCTGTCCTTCTGTCCTGCTCTTTTAATTTAAGGCTATTTTTGATATCCCTCTTGCTAAGTAACAATTTACTTTGGAAATGTCTTGGGGTTTTTGTGAAGTGCTACTTATTCTGAATTAGTGATAAAAACTTCTCCACATATTTTAGTGCTGACAACAAATTCCCTCATTCTGCCAACATAACATTCTCATTTTGCTGAGAAAAACGTAGTCTTGTTGCTTGCTCTTTTTTGCATCTCAACTTTCAGCTCTACTAAATCTTCCAGTCACTTCTCTTTACATCTTTATTTTCAGCACATTTAGGTAATCTGCAGGGTTTTAAGTTGTTTTAGCTTGGGTCCATTGTGGGACATTAATATAGCCCTGACAAGGTCCATGGTGTGGAACGCCGTGGCCCATAACA